AGTTCAATAGCGTTTTGTTTACAATATCGCTTAAATTCATCACATACAAACTGACGCCCATTATCAGCTGTAACAGATTGCGGATATCCTAATCTCGCAAATATTTCTTCCAAAATATTGATTGTGGCACTTGATGTAATGACGTTTAAAAACCTCAGCTCATGATATCTCGAATAATAATCAATTATCACAAATACGTAGTCATGGTTCGGCAAAAGTCCCAGCAAATCCATTGTAACACACAACCATGGCCCGTCAGGCAAAACACGTCTCTTCATCGGAACTGGTTGAACCGGAGCTGCTACCAACAAACAACATCGACACTTTCTGACAAATTTCTCAACATCCATATCAATCATTGGCCACCATAGTTTTGAACGAACTCTTCGCTTCGTAACTGTTTCTCCAGGGTACCCTTCAAAAACTCGCGACCTCGAAGAAACTGGTATCACGATCTTGGTTCCACGCAAAAGAATATTTCCCAAAGTGCATAATTCCAAACGGAAAGGGTACAAGGAACCCAAGAATCATCCTAACACACTTAACTGCTTCCATCAGCTCTGAATCTGACGCATTATTCTTAACGATTTCTAAAATAGTCATCGCCTCCGGAACCGATTTCTCAATCAATGCACAAATACTTTGTTCAGCATAGCGATCGTAGGAGCAAGTGCCACCAAATCTCGCTTCACAGAGTCTAGAAAATGAGTCCCGCTCTGTAAATAACTTTAAACTTAAATGACTGAAGACGAAGAACCCAGCGCTCAATCCTTGCAGGAAGTTTGGAAGTTGTCTTAAAAATCGCTTCCAACGGTTTGTGGTCTGTAACAAGTTCGAATTCAATTTCCGCAACATAGTAATAAAATCTCTCCACTGCCCAGGCCAGTACCAAACTCTCTTTCTCAGTGTGAGAATATCGACGCTGCACGTCCGAAAGGCTCTTGCTTGCAAATGAAATCACTTGTATGGCATCATTACCAAATTGAAGTAAAACCGCACCTAAAGCCACTGGACTTGCATCCGCTTTAATTTGAGTTCGCTTCTTCAGGTCAAAATACGACAAAGTAGGAATTTTGGCTAATCCCTCTTTCAACTTCTTAAATGAGTCATCTTGTCCAAGAAAACTTCACACCATTCTTCGTTAAATTCCTTAACGGTTCAGCGGTGTGACCCAAGTCTGGTAAAAACTTCCCTAAATAAGTCACCAACCCCAGAAAACTCCTTGTCTCCTCCTTGCTGACCGGCGGACGGAAATT